GCCTTCTTTATCATCAGGCCCCCGGCACGGCACTGCAAAATTTCCTGGACGTCCGGGCTGGGCTTATGCTTTCAGGCTGCCCTGTTTGGTACGCCGTATCTAGGTCACCCTGAGGGGCTTCCTGGTCACCGGGATATCCCCTCTTGCTGAGGCTTTGAGTGGGAAGTATAGGTGGCATTTGCGAGAACCTTCTTGTGAAATGCTGTCTCAGGCAGTGCTCCCCTCACCTTAGAGGGTTGTATTTGAGCTTGCCTCTACCATTTGGCCCAGTACTTCCGGGTATCTGTGAGCAGATGCTTGGTAAGCTCTTAAATCCATGCTATGGTAAGTGCACACGCTAAGCTTTGTGCACTTTCTGAAATCCACATGGTGGTAAGTGTGCACGCTGAGCACTTTGCGCACTTTCTAAAATCCACATAGTGGTAAGTGTGCACGCTAAGACTCTGCGCACTTTCTGAAATCCTGTATGGTAAAGGGTTACGCGTTATTAGCCCCGTTCCCTTTCTCTGAGTTGGCTTAGACCCCCGTACTCGCCTTGGGCTCCACTCAACCATTGTGTCTCTGTTGACACACTTTTGAAGCATCGCTCGCCACACCATTGAGGGTTATTGTGAGCATAAGCGACCCCTAGAGGACGCAGTGTCTCGTTCCCTACTCAGGGGACCATGGTTACATAAGTAACCTGAGATGTTTTCTTTCTCAAACACAACCAATCAAAACGCCACACTAATTAATCACTAACTCCTCATGTGTGCTTCACTGAACACCAACCAATCATTCAACCATTTTTATATTTATTGTTATTTTTTGTTTTTTATATTTATATTATATATATATTTTTTTTTTTAAGTCTATACAATTTTTATAAATTTTCATTTTAGGTTTAGTTAATTTTAGTTTAAGTTAAACAAAAAAAATGAAGTAATCTTTCTCTCTCTCTCTCACTTTTTTTTTTTTGGAAGTAACAAATATTTTGTTTAGTTTTCACTTTCTTTTTTGAGTTTTCTAGTTTCCATATATTTAGGATTTATTTTAGTTTTAGTATTTAGGTCTTTTATTTCACAGTCTAGTATTTTCATTATCTAGTGGCATTTGTGTTTTTGGTTGACAAGGTGTAAAGGTTTAAGTTTTTTTTTATATACCGTGTTAAAAAAAACTAAAAAACAAAAATCAGTTGTTGGGTATTTTTATTTTAGTTTGTTTTTGTGCCATGATGCCAAATTAATTTTGGAGCAAAATAAATTTTAGTTCATTTCTGTATGTATTTGTACTTGTACTTGTGTTAACCATAATGAAGCACTTGCAGACAACGCTCATATTAAAGCAGCTCTCTCTCTCTCACAGACACACACACTCTCTCTCTCTCTCTCTCTCTCTCTCTCTCACACACAC